AGGGTCCTACTCTTCCCATGATTTTCATGACACTTACTACAAAAGGCTTCCAATGCAGTGAAATAGTTTGGAACCCCATCTTGCACCATACTCCAAGATAACTTGACCTCTAGAATTCATTAGGATCATTATTCAATTGTTTAAAATCAGACCTCACTTGATCTTAAATAGAATGTCAATAAGTTTATATATAGGTCAGCACTCCTCAGCTTTCACAAATGTCCGTAAACAAAAGATCCTTTGGAAACACTACATCTATTCTATACTGGAATAGTTTCAATAATTTTGGAAGCTTTTTTAAAACTTCAAAGCTAAGTCTAATGCTGGTTCACGATCTTATACAAAAATATATTCAGAAAGGCAGTAGGGTCACTCATTTACTCAGACAGTATCTTTTAGGAATTCTACCATTTTCTGATGTGTGTAGACTCTCTTGGCATTGAAACGAATGTGACAGACACTGACCTATTTGGAAATGCAGCCATTTGAAATTTTCAGTCAGATGCTGATCGGTCTTGTTGGTTGAGGTTTGAGGTTTGAATCAAAACTCATTCAGACATTAGCACATTTCCAAAAGCCTCACTGATAACTGAGGGCAAAAGAAAGCTCTTGATTTAATCTAGTGCTGGGAAAGTGGCAGTCATTGTCACTGTGCGCGATGCTTGTGTTCCAAAGTTATTACTTAAAAAAATTGAAAACCATCATTTCTCTCATTGATGCCATAAATACTTATGACAAATAAAAACACCAAAGCAAATTAAAATATTTTTAGTGGAACCAGATAAAGAGACCAATGTAATGAGGAAATTTAACCCTGATCTTTGTTTTGTTTCTAAGGTTTCTTTTTTTTTTTAAATTCTCTTGTGTTTTCTTTGTTTTAAGTATCACAGGTCTGACAAATCTCCAGTGAAATCCTAAAGCAAGAGAGCTGGTAAATTCTAATATATAATACAATATAAATCTTGTACAATCCACAAAAATGGCCTGCAAAATACATAATATCCCCATTTTGCAGATCTGAGGCTCAGAGAAAGTAAGTGTTGTATAGTCTTTAAGGATTAGCTAGCTCTATATCTACTGCACCTCCCATCTAGTCTAGTTCACATCCTATTACCAGAGGCAGGAACTTGCCCGGACTCCCTTTGCAGCTAACATGGTGGATATGATTTAAGCTCTTGTAAGACATTTAGAAAGTAGAAGCAAGCTGTTCTGTTGTTTCTACTGGTAAGAGGGATGGTGGAGTTTTGCTGTGGCAGCATCCTGGCTTCTAGTCGCTAGCTTTGAGGGTATTGAAAGGCAGGGGGCAGGGTATTCATCATTTATAGCTGCACATTTGGCAGGCAAGCCCCGGCTCTGGAGCTAGTGATTGCCAGTGAAGGCAACTTCCTGATCCCTAGATGGCAGCTGAGGCAGTGTCTTCCTGGAGCCAACAGTCCTGAGGTGGCTTCCTGAGTCCCCATCTTCTTGCTTTTGGCAGAAGAGCAACCGGCAGGCCAGTTCTGCAGTGCGGCTCTGAGCGTCTTCTGGAAACTCAGCATAGATCCTGTTACTTTGACTCTTCCAACTTCTGTATTAATTCCTTTCTGCCTGAATTGTTGGTTTCTGTTTTACTTCGCTGAACTCTAACCAGTAAATATTAAGTAACTTGTTTATTCAGCCAAGAAGTGCAGAGCCTAGATTCAACGTGAGCTTGCCAGCCCCCAAAGCTCACGCTCCCTTTGATGGAAAGCTACAGAGTAAAATTTGCTTTGCATCTGCTGAGTGCAGATATCCAAGAGATGTGCACGGGGGAAGTGGGCGACGGGGTCAGTGGGGATACCAGGTTGACTGAGCAGCTCTCACAAGACCTGCAGGCATGAGGCATTGGTCCTCTGATGTGCACTCCACCCTATTCTGTCCTTCTCCTCTGGTTTTCCTCACAGCCCTTCCTCATTCCTTATTCACTAAGCTGGGATAATTTTCATTTGTTTTCACAGGAGAACGCGTAAGGAAGACAAAGGAGCCTGTTTTTGGCTTTTCAGTCACCAGAGCTTAAGCCCCCAAATCCTAAAGACCAGATAAAACTTATTCAAGTCAGGAGGAAGCAGAAAACTAAAGAGGAAGTCAAAGAGCTAAGACAAGTTAGGTACCTGAGAAGGTCCTGAGCTCTGTCCCTCCCAACTCCCTATCCCCAGACAGAATTCTAGGATAGGTGGATTGAGAGATGATAGAAACTCTATGTCATTTGGGATCCTAGAAGACGAGGATTCTTGTGCCCTTTCCTGGGTAGAACTGGAAAAAACCCTAGGGTTCTCTGCACCCAGCATGGCATAGAGCAGATGAAATGGCGGCATGGTTTCTCTGGGCAGCCAGGCATCCCAACACAGCACTGAGGCTACATCAGAACCCACTCACCTGAGCTGAATGAAGGAGACAGACAGGGCCAGACGTGATGGAGGAGTGTGCTCAGGACCCCAGGATGATGCCACAGAGACCTTTCCCACTGGTGACTGAATACCAAATAGAACAGCACTCTAACAGATCTCGGACTGTGTCAACAGCTGTGGCACCAAGTCCCACCCAGTCTCACAGCTGTGAGACCAGAGCCCCACTCCCCAGTGCCCAATCCCTCCACAACCCTACCTTAATCCTGGTACTCAGATAAACCCCCAGAAGAATTTTGGCTGGGGTGAATGGAATGATCCTGAATAAAATGAAATAAAGTTTCCACTAGAGCTTGAGACTGAATTAAATCCAATTAAAAAAAATAAAGTTACATTTCTCTCACATATGGGCTGTGAGTTGAGTCTTGTGCTCACTCACTACACAGTTTCCAGTTAATTTTTACTCCAACCCTTAAGAGTCATGGGTCAAGGCCAGGCGTGGTGGCTCATGCCTGCAATCGCAGCACTTTGGAAGGCCGAGAGAGGTGGATCACTTGAGGTCAGGAGTTTGAGACCACCCTGACCAACATGGTGAAACCCTATCTGTACTAAAAATACAAAAATTAGCTGGGCGTGGTGGCTGGTGCCTGTAATTCCAGCTACTTGGGAGGCTGAGGCAGGAGAATCACTTGAACCCAGGGGGTGGAGGTCGCTGTGGGCCGAGATTGCCACTGCGCTCCAGCCTGGGTGATAGAGTAAGAGTCCATCTCAAAAGAAAAAAAAGAGTCATTGGTCAAGAACAGTGTTCAGCAAACTGCAGCCAGCCGTTTTTGTTTTTTGTTTTTTGTTTTTAATTTTCCTGCCTATTTTTGTAAGTAAAGCTTACTGAAACATAGCTATGCTAATTTTCTATGTGGCTGCCTTTGCACTCCGGTAGCAGAGTTGATTAGTTGCAACAGAGGCTGCCGTGGTGTGAAGCCTGAACTTGTTACTGTCTGGATGTTTACAGAAAAAAATGTGCCAATCCCTGGTATAGAACATGGGCCCTGCCTGGCTCCAACCCATCCTCTCCCTTACATGCTTGTCCTTTTCCTGACACCATGGGGGCAAAGTCTCAAATCAAAATCAATGGAAAACTTTTGTCTTTCTCTGCTGTTAAAAATATACTTATGTCCAAATCCAGCTTCTCCTTCCTAAACCTCCCCAAAGGTTGGCTCTCTTCTGACTACTTTCTTCGTCTCCTTTTCTTCTGTGATCCTGCACTTCCTTGTAGATTTCTATCTTGATTCCTTCTATTCTATATCCTTTGTGGGTTTCTCTTCCCCTGACCACCTTTAAGGTAAGTGTTTTCTAGGGTTGTCCTTGGCCCACTGGTCTCACTCCATTTACCCTGCCATGCCCCAGAACTCTTTGCAGGTGGACCAAGTTTCACTTGGTCATAAGCACAGTTCACAAGACAGAAAGACAAATTCACTTCTAAGGAGATAAGCCATTCAAGGTTAGTGATTTCAGGGGTTCATTCCCTTGGCTTAGATAACAACTGATACCTTAACACCCAAACAGACTGTTTGGTTTTCTTCCTCTCGCCACTGAATTAGTCAATATTACCCTTGAGCAGACAACTGAAGAGCAGAATGATCACTTAGTAGACAACCAATAAAAGGCATCATAGCCTGGTGGTCAATCATATATATATAGGCTCTGGAGTTAGATTATAAGCTACAGTTTTGAAGCTCTTATTAGCTATGAAAACTTGGGTAAGTAGATTAACGTCTATGCTTCAGCTTCCACTTCCATAAAATGGGCATAAGGCACTCAACACCACTAATCATTAGGAAAATGTAAACCAAAACTACAATAGGTAGCACCTCACTCCATTTAGAATCACTATCAAGAAATCAAAAGATAAGTTTTGGCAAGGATGTAGAGAAAAGTCAACCCTTACTGCTGGTAGGAGTGTAAATCTGTGTAGTCATAATGGAAAACAGTATGACGTTTCCTCACAAAATTAAAACTGTAACTACCATGTGATCCAGGAATCCCACCACAGGGTATATCTCCAAAGGAAATGAAATCAGTAAGTCAAAGAGATATCTGCACTCCTATGTTTATTGCAGCATTATTCACAATAGCCAAGATAGGGGATCAACCTAAGTGTTCATCAATGGATGACTGGATCAAGAAAATGTGGTATGTATACATAATGGAATACTACTCAGCCATAAAAAAGAATGAAATCCTGCCATTTGTGATAACATGGATGAGCCTGGAGGATATTACATTAAGTGAAATAAGCCAAGCACAGAAAGACAAATACCATAAAACAACAAAAACAAACAAAACCTACAACAAATTCAATTTAATCAGAAGTTCCCTTTAGCTATGTGTGAGGTTGTGAAAAGGAAAAAAACTAAATACTCCAACTAAGCTAGATACTCTAACAGTCTTAAACATTAAGCTAAAAACTCTAATAGTCTTTTCCTACAGATCTGTGACTGCACAACAAAGGTGAGGAGGTAGGAGCAGAGAAGGAGAAAATGGGAAGTTGCCTGGGAAAAGGGAAGCAACTAGTTCAGGGATTTCAACAACCAATACAGTAAAATCTGAAAGAGAAAACTGCCAATCAAAGATGCTTACCTTTGCACCCCTCACAGGTCAGTGCATTATAGTGGTATCCAGACGCTCTGTCTCCACAAACAACACACAGCTCATCCCCTTTGATCCTCCCTGCTGACGCGCCCATGCGGGGCTTCTTTGTTACAGGCATCTCTGCTACCTCAGTCTCTCCCTGGTAGAGAGACTCAGCTGGCATTCGCCTGAGTTCATATATTCCAGGAGAGTACCACTCTTCAGGCTGCTGGGGGTAGAAACCCAGGTTGGAATAATAGGATGATGAGGAAATCTGTGGTTGAACTTGGGGAAACTGAACATTGCTGTATTGAGAGTATGGTTCCACTTCCAGGTTCTGTCCCAGAGGACCTGCCACTTGTTCTGTTAAAACACCTGAACAAAAGTGACAACAAAACTGGAATGAATGTCATCATTCTGGAAATTAGAGAGGCAGTTTGGCGTAATGGTTAGGAGTGTGGGCTCTAAGAAAAGATTGAAACATTTAACTACATAAAAGTTTACAACTTTTTAAGAGTATATATACATAATATAATTAAATGACAAATTAAAAATGTTCTGCAACATAGAGGACAGAGTCATCTCATTAATGTATAAACAGCTCTTGAAAACCAATAAGAAAACATTTGAGAAGCTATGGAAAAAGGGATAAAGGAAAGGAATAGTTTTAGAAATATAAACGTAAGTGTTTTGTAAATGAAAAAATGTGCTCACCTTTGCCAATAATTAAATTTAAATTGAAACTAAAACATTACCGTTTTCATCTTCAAATGTGTGAGAGTTTAAAAAGTTTGATTATACACACTGTTGGGGAAACAAATACTTTTTGGGGGAAATTTGTGAATATTTTCCAGTTTTTTAAACTTCAATGTCCTTTTAACCCAGCATAAATTTTCCACTGCTTGAAAATTTATTTTAGAAATATCCTTGAACCTCTATGAAAAAGTGTTTTGTAAAAATATTCACTTGCAGCAAATTTGCAGAGCCATAAATTGGAAAACAATCTAAATATTCATCCATATGAGTCTGGTCAAATAAATTTGTTATATCCATACACTGAAATATTAAGTAGATGTAAAACAATTATTTAGATTTCTATGTGCTGTCATGGAAAATTTCTACAATAAGGTGCTATATGAAAAAGGCAAGCAATAGACCAATGTGTATATTCACATGGGTATTAAACACTAATGGGGGGTGGGTGTGTATGTGTGTGTGTGTGTGTATGTGTGCAGGTGTGTGTGTGCAAAGGCAAATTTCTGCATGATACAGAAGAAAGTAGGTGGTGGTGACTGTGAGAAGTGATATTTTTACATTATATTCTGGGAGAGAAGATTGCATAATTTTTTTTACTGTTTGTAGTTTTTGCCACGTGTATATGTATGCGTTATTTTAATCATTATAAAACAAAGGAGGAGCTTTAAAAAAAGAATACAGTGCCTGCAATCTATCTACTGTATTCAAATTCCTGCTCTGTTACTTACAATCTGTGTGCAGCTGGCAATTCCTTAATGTCTTTAAGTTGCAGTCTTCTCCTAATAAAACAGAGAATAATAATACCTACCTCACTGGGTTGATATAAAGATTATATGAGATAATGTGTGCCAAGTGCTTTGCTAAATGTTTGGCACACAGGAAGTGCTCGATAAATTATAGCTGACTTAAAATAGGAATAATAATTATTATTCTTACTACCATCATTATTAAAGGAGCCCCTTATTTAGAAAACCTCTAGGTAATAGAAAACCATCAGGTTATGAAAATGCTTCTATTTCCTGGAAACATCAACTATGGCTCTTTAAAAAATAAAAATATTTAAATTATGCAAATGCTGAAAAAATAGACATAAATAAGAGATAGGAAAGTTTACAAATGTGTCTGACTCTTCCAAATGTTGTCAGACAATTGTAGACCAAAATTCCAGTTCCATCTCTTACGAACAGTGGGACTTTGAGCAAATTATTCAAACTATTGATAAACATCGGTTTTCATGGCAGCAAGTTTGGGATGATAACATCGATATCAAGGGTTAGGCTGAGGAATGAATGAGATGATACAGATTCACAGTTCCTTATCTGAAACCCTTGCAGTCATATGTGTTTTAGAAGTCAGAATTTTCAGGATTTTAGAACAGAATACTGTGCTATTTATATATCCCTCCCAGCACAGTCTGGAACAGAACCCAGAGTCAAATACAGCAATATTTTCCACAGTGAAATATATGAATATTCACAGTCAGTGCAATAAGTAAAGACTATAAATAGTTTCACATTCATTCAGGTCAGGTTCTGTCACCAAAAAAGTGTGTGCCAAACTTTTAGAAAAACGTGGTTTTTTGGGGCTTTGGGGATTTCGAATTGGCAATGCTCTTTGCTGTGCTCAAAAGATAGTTGAAACGATTACTATAATTATTATGATTACTATCACTATATTTTGCAGAAAACTTTTATAGAGTTCTTTGTAGCGGCAGGCACTTGTATGTTCTCATTTATTTCTCACAAAACCCTATGAGTTAGGTAACATTATTATCCCCCACTTACAAATGAGTACCATGAGACACGTAGAAGTCAAGCAACTTTACTCCTACCTACCTAAGTAGATGCGATTTGAGCTCTAGGAGTCTAATCTCAAAGTCCATGCACCGAATTGCTGCTCTCTGGGGGTAATTTCAGGTGTGTGATGCTTAAAAACATGATATTCAAAGCCCCTCTCTGCATCCTCCTACTTGCGTTTGTTACCCCCTTCTTGGCCTCCGCTTGCATATAACGGGTCTGCAGGTTTCTGCATCACCCTACCCTTGCTTTCTTTTCCAGCCATTTTGCATGTTTGGATGTCTCTGTTTCTTGAATGTGTCTTGCTGCTTCCAGACTCAGGATTTCTCCCACCTGCTGCTTCCTGAGCCTGGAATGGTTCTCAACACAGCCAACCCCTCCCAGGGCTTCATCTCATTAATGTCCACTTATCTCTACATTCCCTGTAGGTATTGCTTCTCTTGGGAAGTTTTCCCAACAGAAAAGGTTACCAGGTCCCTGGGAGTCATGTTCCTGAATCTAGTTATATGGCATTTAAAAACCGTTACTTACTCTACCTGGGCTCCCTCTGTTTATCTGTAAAGAAAAGACTCCACCCTAGATGATCTTCTAAATCTTCTTTACATCTAAAAGTCTCCATAAGTATATGACTAATAGTTTATGAACATTAGAATTCAGGGCTTTTCTACCCTGGCAAAGTTCAGAATATACATATTACATGTTGAAAATAATGCTTTCTGCATTAACCCAGGAAATGATTGACAGAGCACATGGTATACAGTATCTGGACAAAAATCAATTTCCTTTCCTTCTGTCTGACTTATCCATATAAAAATAGCATACGCTAGGTACGGTGGCTCACGCCTGTAATCCCAGCACTTTGGGAGGCCGAGGTGGGTGGATCACGAGGTCAAGAGATTGATATCATCCCGGCCAACATGGTGAAACCCCGTCTCTACTAAAAATACAAAAAAATTAGCTGGGCTTGGTGGTGCACACCTGCAGTCCCAGCTACTTGGGAGGCTGAGGCAGGAGAATCACTTGAACCTGGGATGTAGAGGTTGCAGTGAACCAAGATCACGACACTGCACTCCAGCCTGGCAACAGAGCAAGACTCAGTCTCAAAAACAATAACAAAACAAAATAAACAACAACAACAAAAAAGAGTATGTCTAACGGACAAAATATTTTAGAAATGGTGCCTTGTCTTACCACCACAAAATGGAAGGGGAAAAATACGGAACTATTACACAAAAAGAAAAGATAAAAATAAGCAAAATCCTGATCTATTTCATCACCAAATACGATGAAAATTTCTGGAGTGAACGGAATTGAAAAAAACTAAAAAGTATTAAAAGCATTTAGTTTCACTTACACTTAGACTTTATCCTCTAACCTATCTTATTCCCTTAACTCCCCTTCCTCCCTCAGCCCAACTTCTCTCTGCCACAGCTCTAGTAAGGATAAGTAATTTGCCCAAGATCAAAAACCGATAGAATCTGGATTCTGTAGCATCCAAGGAAATGTGTACAGTTTTTTTCCTCCTCATATGACAATTCTAAAATCTTTAAGCATTATTTCAATAAAATAATTATTTTCATAATCAAGAAACACAAAGGAGTCCCAAGTCAAGTCAGATAATGATATCACTGTCATATCACTCTCTGGAATAATCTAGATCAAAATGGAAAGTTTTCACAAAGATACAGATAATATCATGCTAAAACAGTAGGACATCAGTAAAAATATGAGAAAAGTACACAATAATATTAAATAATACTTCTATTCTTGGCCAGATGCATTGGCTCATGCCTGTAATCCCAACACTTTGGTAGGCCAAGGTGAGTGGATCACCTGAGGTTAGGAGTTCGAGACCAGCCTGTCCAACATGGTGAAACCCCGTCTCTACTAAAGAAACAAAAATTAGCTAGACATGGTGGCAGGCGTGTGTAACCCGGCCACTCGGGAGGCTGAGGCAGGAGAATCACTTGAACCTGGGAGGCAGAGGGTACAGTGAGCCAATATCGCGCCATTGCTCTCCAGCCTGGGCAACAGAGTGAGTCTCCATCTCAAACAAAACAAAACAAAACAACAACAACAACAACAAAAAACCTTCTATACTCAAAGCCCATTCACTTCTAGCATTTCATAGTGTGTCCCCTAAATTTCCACAAATAGAGAAGTAATTATGCAGGAATCTTACAACCAAAGAACCAGCATGGCCAACATATTCCAAAATGGTTGGACTAGGACAACTTCCACCATTAACTGACCATGAGATCTTAACTGGCTAAGCTTTTCCTATTTCAATCTCTTCTGTAAAAATGGGACTGTTGCTATCTCAGAAGATAGTTTTGAGTGTAAAATACGGTTGTTGAGAAGCAGTTTTGGTAAGTCGAGTGTCATTAAAAGACATGTTTCCTAAAGAATCTAGCAAAATCCTGATTTTAGTGATAGTTAATTGATAGTTAATAAGTAATTATTAACACATAGTCTGTCTTGATGATATAAGTATTAGGATAGTTCTTTCATTACAAATATATATTTATAAACATATGCTCATGCTCTGTGTGTGTGTGTGTGTGTGTGTGTGTGTGAGATAAACACTTGCTATTTAGCAGTCACTGTGTTAGGGTCTGAGGATATGAAAGTGAAAAGACACATATGAAGGCCCAGCCTTTCTCTTGTTTGTGTGTTTTGGGAAGTGGGGATGTCAATGGTTGGGACAAAAATAAGTAAACAAGTAAACAAATACAACATTGTCTGGCAGAAAATAAGATGTGGAGGGAGTAGAGGTGTTTGACTTTAATTTAGAGTATGCTTTCTGAAAAGGTAAATTTATTT